GTTAGAAAATAAACTGCCAGCTGAAGATTAAGCTTGTCCAAGGTGTTAGAAACATCTTCTATTAACTAGAGTTGCGATGCAAGAATTTGTAAAAATTATCACTTAAATATAAATTGTCATAAATACAATACAAAATATATAAATTCTACATACATGAAAACTTGAATACAGTCCAACAATATGTGAAAGAGGAATGGATTAAAAGGAAACTGAAAATCCCAAGATGTAAATATAAGAAAGTTCGGGTTTTTTTTTTTTTTTTTTTTTTTTTTTTTTTTTTTTTTTTTTTTTTTTTTTGTTGTTGTTAATTATGAAAATTCTGCAGACGCACATAATTATCAATTTATGAATTAAATGTGCATTAGAAATTAAATGTATGCCAAAGTACATCAGGTAGAGTAACTGAAAAACAGAATAAATATTTAAACGTTTCTAGTATTAAAATATGGAATTTGTAAGAAAGTTAAATAACTTTAAAATAACTTCGATGATTAAAAATGGAAAGCTTAATAAGGCATATATTGCAATAATATTAATGTGAATTTAGAACCACTTAAGAAAACCAATTTTTAGATTTAATAAGGAGAATTGTTTAAATTAAATTAGAAATGTTTACCGAAAATGGTAAATTTTAAAGTTAAAAACCATTCTGCTACCTAAGAATATTTGTTAATATTTATCTAGGCAAGAAACTTATTTAAGGTGCTTTACAAATCCGATATTTGATACGTTGATTATGTATTAGTGTTGTGTATGTCATTAATCTATCAATTTCATTATTAATTCATAATATATATGTATCAGTTTTGAATAATGAATTATATATATATATATATATCAGCGACTAAAATCTACAACTTGGAAAGTTTTTAATTCTTACAGAGAATAAAAAAGACCTGGCTCATCATTCTTTTAACCATCATAAAACTTTAAAATGAGTGTAAAAGAAATTCATTTTTACTTTAAGCACACGTCAGACATTAAATTAGTATTTGTTTTATATGCACAATTTTTACAATATTGAAAAAGGAAAATAGAGGCTTGCAGTCTCAATAAAATGTCCCATTAATGGCGATAAATGACTTTTTGTAGCACCCAATCTTCTTGGTGAAGAAAGAGGTGCCAGGAAACGTCGCGCAGTTCGTGGATTAGATAAGGGGGGGGGATCTTCGATCAAATTTCTCGCAGTTCGTACCCTACCGTTTTGAAAGATATTTTTTTGTCGTTTAATGTTTTAATGTTACCAAGGATGGGCTCCAATTGCGCGAATGAAAATCCTGCCCCCTCCCCCGTCCTGCTATAGTCCAACCGCGCGAATCAAAATTCCTTTCCCCCACTGCCTACAGGGTTACAATTTAACTTTTTGAAGCCAATTGTAGTCAAGAGGAAAATAAAAATAAAGAAAGAGAATAACATATCAACAATCAGAAGAACAAGTAAAGAATATCTTACAGGCAGGCTAATTACTTGAATAATAGTAATAAATGGGAGAGCTAATACAGAAAATAAAAGGTATCGGTAAAATATACATATTAGCATTACAAACATCTTTCATTGATTACAATATTAGAGCTAAGAGTATTATAATAATATCGTAAATTAAATAATTATAAAGCATACCAATCATATTTTTTTATAAATTGCATCAATAATAGTCAAGATGTCTGAACTAAACTGGAAAATTTAATATAGTTCACTGACGTACAAAAGATTATACCCAATCAAAGTGTGTTAAAGTGTGCTAGAAATACTTTTCGTTAATTAAAGTAATCATGTAAATGTTTACAGAAATTAATAGTTAAATTTAAAAAAAGCTTAGCATGAAATCTATTATAACATTACTATGCGTTTGGAACACTGACATATAAACTGTAAATAAATTTAAATCATTATTCTAAGAAGTTTTTTCTAAAATTTATCTAGAAGAAAAGAATTAGATAAACAGTACTGCAAATTAATATAATCAATAAGGCCTCTCAATAAATAAAAGTTTATTTTTTTAACCAAAACCTAGAAATTGGGGTGCAAACGTTTGTGTAATATACTTGGAAATATCTGAACATATAATTAATTAGAAACGTATGACTAAATTAAAAACAAGCTAATTAATAGAAACATTAAGCTTAATTTCATTCAATCTAAAACAAGCAATCGATCAGAAGCTCCACATAACTAAAGTTTTATTGCTATTTTACGTAAATTTGCGTACAAAATAAATATTTGCACTTGTAAAAGAAGTGGATAATATACAAGAATTAGATAGTCAACAAGAATTAAAATATAGTGGTTAGTAATATAACCACTTGTCAGAAGGTATTCTAAGTTACCATAGCTACAGAAATTGAATGACTATAGAAAACTCATAAAGTTAAGCGCTACAGTGTGAAAAGAAAATTCTGCAATAAAAATGTTAAAAAATTTAGATGGAGAATAATCCTTAATTTATTGATATCCATATAAACTCTGTGCTTTTGGTAAAGGTTACATATAATTTGGATCGACGTATCAATAATCAAATCCGAGTTAATTTCTTTCCTTATTTTTTCATATTAAAGAGATTTGTAAAAAGATATGCTAAGGTGAAAATTTTTGCAACATTTTTAAAGAATAAATTTTAAAAAATATTTTTGCTTCATGAACTGAAATTTTTGCGATACATTTTTACACAGTAAATAAGTACAAAAAAAGATAAAGCTGGGGGATTTCTGGGATTAGAAACTCGGGTCGAACTACCTATGTTTAGTGACTCTCCGCTTGATCATAAGACCTTTTGAAATTAAGATGAACAATATATTAAAGAAAATAGAAGATAACAGCGCACGTCAGAACAAAAGTGGGCTGAATTAGAGATTTACATGTTTGGTGAATGAGTTAAACTTATCTGTATGCCATTATGAAATATTATGAATGTAGCATAAAAGCATCAGCGGAGAAGGCAATGGGAATCTAAATCATTGTAATCTAAATGTATAACATTATCAATATCTGCTATTAATTTCAATACTGCTGAAAAAATTTATAATTAAATTCTATTATAAATCACATGAACTTGTTGCATTTATAAATTACAACAGTTAGAAATATTATTAGCATGATTTAACGACCATCTTCGTTAACAAATAATTTCAAATAATTAATTTTACAAATAATTCAGCCTGAAACTAGGTTAGAAAATAAGCTGCATGCTGAAGATTAAGCTTTACCAAAAGGTGTTAGAAATATATTCTCTTAATTAGAGTTACGATGCAAGAATTTGTAAAAATTATCATTTAAATATAAACTGGATAAATACAATACAAAATATATAAATTCTAAATACATGAAAAGTTGAATACTGTGCAACAATATGTGAAAAAGGAATGGATAAAAAGGAACTCAAAATCCCATGATATGAATATAAGGGAGTTCAAATTTTTTTTGTTAATTATGAAAGTTCTGCAGACGCTCATAATTATCAATGTATTAATTAAATGTTTATTAGAAATTAAATGTATGCCAAAGTACATCAGGTAGAGTAACTGGAAAACAGACTAAATATTTAAACGTTTCTAGTATTAAAATACGGACTTTTTTACAAAGTCCGTATTTTAATAACTTAGTCCGTATTTTAATAAGTTAAATAACCTTAAAAAACTTCAATGACTAAAAATAAAAAGCTTAATACGGCAATATATTGCAATAATATTAGTGTGAATTTAGAACCACTTAAGAAATCCAATTTTTAGATTTAATAAAGGGAATTGTTTAAATTAAATTAGAACTGTTTACCTAAAATGGTAAATCTGAAAGTTAAAACCAATCTGCTATCTAACAAGATCTGTTAATATTTATCTAGACAAGAAACTTATTTAAGGTACGCTACAAATCCCATATTTAATAGGTTGATTATGTATCAGTTTTGTGTAGGGCTTTAATCTATCATTTTATTATTCAAAACTGATATGTATATATCAGCGACTAAAATCTACAATTTGGAAAGTTTTTAATTCTTACAGAGAATAAAAAAGATCTGGCTCATCATTCTTTTAAGCATCATAAAACTTTAAAATGAGTGTAAAAGAAATTCATTTTTACTTTAGCACACGACAGACTTTAAATTAATATATGTTTCGTATGCTCAATTTTTTACAATATTGATAAACAAAAAATAAAGGTTTGCAGTCTCAATAAAATGCCCCATTAGTGGCGATAAATGACTTTTTGTAGCACCCAATCTTCTTGGGAATTCAAGTTCTTAGAAAGAGGTGGCAGGAAAAAGTCGCGCAGTTCGTCTATTAGGTAAGAATGGGGAGGGGGAGGATCTTCGATTCAATTTCGCGCATTCGTACCTACCGTTACCAAAATAGTCGTGGGCAAAAGTGATTGCATTAGGCTCCGCCTAATGTATTTGTAAAATACATATGATATCATCCAAACTCTAAAAATTAAAATATAAAAATAAATCAAACTTTTGTAAAGTCACAGTAATCTCAGCTCTAAGTTGCTTATCAGAGATATGAGTAATTAGCCCAAAACATTAAAACGAAGTGCCAGATACACGAATGAAGGTTTGAAATTTTCAGAACTGAAGATTGTATGCCAAATAAAGCTTTTACGCATTTTGAATTAGAATCAGGTTAATATCATTACGTGAGACTAGAAGACATTATGAGACGTCCAAGTTGATCATTCATCTAAAAGAAATAAAAGATTTTGCTTGAATTGTTAGATTTTCTTTGCTTGAAAAAAGTGAATCTCAGTTATATTAACAAGAAGTAGACTTAGTTATACTAATTTAAATAACATGAGGTAAACAATAGCGTTTATTTCATGATTCTTAAGGCAGTAGTTGGTACTGATACACTAGAGTACGTAAGAACGAACCATCTCAATAAATATAAATAATAAATAAATAAAATTAAAAAAAATTAAAAAAAAACCTTCTAACTTCATTCATGGTAAGTTTATTATTATTAAGACATAATTATCTCTGAATACAGAAGCGAAATTGATTTTCTTACCTCTTGGAATTAAAAAAATACTTAATATAGTTTCGAATAACATTTTTTTGACCTATTAGTTCCGATGTAGAACAGTTCAACGCCTATAAAATCAGTGGTAGGATATGAACTGGGCGAAATTTAATTGAAGACCCCATTCTTATCTAATCCACGAACTGCGCGATGTTTTCATATTCCCTCTTTCTAAGAAGAAGGGTGCTACAAAAAGTCATTTATCGCCACTAATGGGACATTTTATTAAGACTTCAATCCGCTATTTCTTTTAACAGATATTGTAAAAATTGTGCATACAAAACAAATATTATTTTAAAATCTGGCATGTGCTAAAGTAAAAATGAATTTCTTTTTACACTCATTTTAAAGTTTTATGATGCTTAAAAGAATAATGATCCAAATTATTTTTATTCTCTGAAAGAATTAAAAACTTTCTAAGTTGTGGATTTTAACTGCTGATACATTTATATATCAGTTTTGAATAATAATGTGGTGTGGTGTTGTGGTGTATTTAATTATGGCAAAGCACACTAGGGCTATCTGCCTAAGGGGAGGGATGCCTTCGTGGAGAACTTCCGAAGGAAAACTGGCTCGTATACACGTTACACATGGGGAAAACCACGAAAACACCCATGTAGCCAGCCCGTTCGCGGGATTCGAATCTCGGACCGAACTACCAGTGTTCAGCGACTTTACCGCTCGGCCGCTGGTTGGCCTTTGAATAATAAAATTGATAGATTAATGCCCTACACAAAATTGATACATAATCAACCTATCAAATATCGGATTTGTAGCGTACCTTAAATAAGTTTCTTCTCTAGATAAATATTAACAAATCTTCTTAGATAGCAGATTGGTTTTAACTTTCAAATTTACCATTTTAAGTAAGCAGTTCTAATTTAATTAAAAAAATTTACTTTATTAAACCTAAAAAGTGGATTCACATTAATATTATTGCAAGATATGCCTTATTAAGCTTTCCAATTTTAATCATTGAAGTTATTTTAAAGTTATTTAACTTTCTTACAAATTCCATATTTTAATACTAGAAACGTTAAATATTTATTCTGTTTTCCAGTTGCTCTACCTGATGTACTTTGTCAGACATTTAATTTCTAATACACATTTAATTAATAAATTGATAATTATGAGCATCTGCAGAATTTTCATAATTGACAGAAAAAAATTCGAACTCCCTTATATTCATATTTTGAGATTTTCAGTTCTCTTTTAATCCATTCCTTTTTAATATATTGTCGCATTGTATTCAAATTTCTATGTATGTAGAATTTATACATTTTTTATTGTATTTATGCCATTTTATATTTAAATGATAATTTTTATAAATTCTTACGTCATAACTCTAATTAGCAAAAGATGTTTTTAACACCTTAACTCGATTATTAATTGATTGGAGATTAACTCGATTTCTGTGGTTGATACCTCGGTGAAAACTAAATGTAACTTTATCTTAAAGCATAGAGTTTATATAGATATCAATAAATTAAGGATTATTTCTCCATCTAATTTTCTTAACACGTTTATTCCGGAATTTTATTTTCACACTAGCTTTTAACTTATGAGTTTTCTATAATCATTCAATTTCTCTAGCTATAGCAACTATGCATACCTTCTGAAAAGTAGTCATATTTTTAACCACCGTATTTTAATTCATGTTGCCTATCAGTACATTATTCACTTGTTCAACAAATGCAATTTTTATTTTAAACGCAAATCTACGTAAAATAGCAATAAAACTTCAGTTATGCGGAGCTCCTGATCGATTGTTTGATTTAGATTGAATGAAATTAAGCTTAATGTTTCTATTAATTAGCTAGTTTTTAATTTAGTTATACGTTTCTAATTAATGATATGTTCAGATATTTCCAAATATATTACACAAACTTTTGCACCCCAATTTCTAGGTTTTGGTTAAAAAAATAAGCTTGTATTTATTTAGAGGACTGATTAATTATATTAATTTGCAGTACTGTTTATCTAATTCTTTTCTTCTAGATAAGCCCACCAGCGGCCGAGCGGTAAAGTCGCTGAACACTGGTAGTTCGGTCCGAGGTTCGAATCCCGTGAACGGGCCGGCTGCATGGGCGCTTTCGTGGTTTTCCCCATGTGTAACGTGTATACGAGCCAGTTTCCCTTCGAAAGTCCTCCACGAAGGCATCCCTCCTCTTAGGCAGATAGCCCTCGAGGCTTTGCCATAATCACACACACACACTCTTCTAGAAAAATCTTCCTGTCGTAATAATTTAACGTCAGTGTCCCAAACACATAATAATATTGCTATAATAGATTTCATGCTAAGTTTTTTTTTTTTTTTTTAATCTAGCTGTTAATTTCTGAAAACATTTACATGATTACTTTAATTAACAAAAAATACTTCTAGCACACTTTAACACAGTGTCGTACCGAATAATCTTTTTCCCGCCAGTGAACTATATTAAATTTTTCAGTCTAGTTCAGACATCATGACCATTATTAATTTAATTTATAAAAAATATAATTGGTATGCTATATAATTATTTAATTTTATGATATATTATAATACCTCTTTGCTTTAATATTGTAATTAATGAAAGATGCTTGTAATGCTAATATGTATGTTTACTAATACCTTTTATTTTCTTTGTTAGCTTTCGCATGTTTTACTGTTATTCAAGTAATTAGCCTGCTTGTTAGATAGATAATCTTAACTTATTCTTGTGACATGTAATTCTATTTCTTTATTTTTATTTCCCTCTTGGCTACAATTGGCTTCTAAAAGTAAAATTGTAACCCTGTAGTTCCCCGGCAGGAAACGGAGGAAGAAATTTTTTTTTCGCGCATTTGGAGTATGCCCAAATCAGCCAAATTATTAAATTGCTCTCTTATCAAGCATTTATCGAAACAGTGATAAGCTATTACTTGCATAACAATTCTTTAAAAGACAATGAAAATATAAAGATAGGCAAAATAGAAAGTAACCTTGGGGAGGAGAACGAATCACTTGTATTCGAAATTCTCTATTTGCTTCAAGAAAATATGTTACAATAGTCTTTATTAATAGACGATCATTTAAAATTTGGTAAAATACTTCTGAAGTAGTCTAACATGTTTGTTTCGAATTCAAAGCGATGTTTAATGTAGATTTTATCGTTACCCCAAAAGTAATTAAAATAGATTCGGTAATATTCTAATTTTATATAAGTTATTTGCAAACTTTCATTCGTTCTATATACTTAATTATACTTTGTCTAGAGTCCAGTAGATGAACTTCTGTCTGCAACTGGAGTAGCAGGAAACTACACAGGAGAAGGGTTAAAGTACCCTTTATTAAATCTTCGAAAATTTACAATGCGTCAACTCGACGCTAACAAACTTCGCCCCTGTTTCTTTCTTCTTATTACGTGCTCCGCCCTTGGGCACTACACGGAAAGGGAGGGCTGCCCCGTGGAGGTCTCGTATCCACATTACACATGGGGAAAACCACGAAAACGCAGCCAGCCAAGGCCAACTAGCTATATGCTTGGCCTTGAGCCAGCCCGTTTCGCCTGAAAATCAAGTAACTAAACTAAAAATTTTAAGATATTAACAAACGATAGAACTAGACTACAGAGTTCAGCGAGATCCCTAACTTAAACCCCCTTCGAAGCTAGTCGCAGCAACTAAATGCAATTAAGCCACTTGAACCAGCAATAAGCAAGCGTACCTACGGCAGAGTTTGCGACTAGATCCTCTCTCTCTTTCTCCTACCGAAACTCGTCTTTTAAATACTTTCTACAAAGTAGAAATTTGCATTCCTTTACCCGCGCTACAACATTTAACTATTCTGACACTAACAATTAGGGGAATGAAGGCTTAAAGGAAAGTTTGAACTTAATTTTTAAATTGTTAGTTAAAATAAATATAAATCCCTACAGTTGCCGATGCCAGAATTTAGCAGACTTGGATAAAAGTCCTTTAAGACCTGTTACAAACTGTTAAATTCTAGATAGAACAGCCCTGAGCCTCGTTTACATACAAGAATTAAACTTTAATTTAATTACAACATAAATAACTCGTTTTCATGTATTTTTTCCGCTGTAGAATCCATCGTTCTTGCTCATTAGGGTACTCAGTCTTGTTCTTTCAGTCCCCTGGAAGGAATGACTATGAATACATGTTTCTATCACATAATAAATAACACTTTATTTTTACAAGCATTGAACCTTTTATCCAGTTTCTAACTCTTTAGACTTTAATGTAATTTTCTTAAGTTTACCAAACATTGCGGTTTTTAAGAGACACAAGTATTCATCCACATTCATGCTTAGTTTTAGCTTAATCCCCTTTTGGCTCTCAACAATATGTGTTGCAAATGCTAATGGTAAAGTGAGCAAACTCTCCACCTAAACACACATAACAACATTTTAAGACACTAAATCAAATTCTTAATTCTCCAGGAGCTAATAAACATGAAAATTAACTGGAGTGTTAGCAGAGAGCCCTACAAAACACATTCATGCAATAGTAAATTTTTCCCCACATTCGGACTTTAAACACATGTAAGCTTTCCCAAGAAAATGCATGATTTGATTTGGCTAAAATTTTCTAAATCCAGAATTTTCTTTAGCTTACATTAACTTTTAAGTACATTCACTTTTAAATACATTAACTCTTAACCATATTTCGAGACTTTTCGTACTACATAATTATTCTCTAATTTCTTTGGAATTTAGACATGCATTTAGAGTATCATTTACCTTTAACACAATAGATATTTTCACATTTTAAAATCACATACTCTTATCATACTAGAGAATAAAATGATAGAAAAAAATTTTACTTGACTTTTTTCCTCTTGCCAAAAGAGCGAACCTAAAACACATTTTCATTAACAAGTACTAATACGAAGCTGCTTGTATCAGGCCAGAACATTTGGCTTGTTAACATAAATAGTCTTTCGACAAACAAAACCTGAACTACCCGTTCAAGTTTTGTTTGCCGAATTAACATTACATTTAATTGCATTAACATTACATTTGCATTAGCATTAACATTACATTTCTACAATACATTATAGTTTTGTGCTTTCGCCAAATAAATCTAAACTAATTTTAGTCCTCCACCGAGGCAATTCACTTTCACATGTAACTTTGTATTAAAAA